GCGAATTTTTGAGCATAAAACAATTCTTCTTGCAACTGTCAAGACATCCGATTTTATTATTGCGATACGTATAAACAATCCGAGCTATTACTGGTCATTATTGGCACTGCCAACTCAGGAGCGCAATAAGACATTCAAGAATATTTCCAAAAAAACCTCATAATTCCATAATTTACAGTTACTCTGCTTTTCGATAAAATATGATAAATAAAAATATACTTCTGATATTTTTTCTTTATTCCGAGTGTGCACTAAATTTTTACTAAAATATTCTCTGCTATTTCTAGGTTTTCAAAATAGATTTAAAAAAAAATCCAATTCTATATTAGTTTCCATTTTCCAATCATCACTATTACCTAAACTGTTTGTCAATATAGTAGAAAATATTAACAATTACTTACAAAACAATTTCGAATAACGTTATTTTAATCAGTTACAATTTTCGAGAAATATGAGAAATTTTCAGTTAAATTCTTTAAATTGATAGCTTCTTCAACTGATAATTTTGTCTGAAATCAGCAAATAGAGGCTGATACAAATTCGCTTCTCACTACAGGGATCTCGGAAACGGTAAGAGATGCGAACTAGCTTAAATGCTTCTGAAAAATCAAGACTAACATGATTAGTTTTCGAAATATTTAAAAAAAAAACGAAATTTTGGAAATCCGTTTTTGTTTCATTTCAGCCTTGTTTAAGGTGATACTGAAAAAAGAACACTTTCCCATAGCAACTTTTTGCCCTCTATCGAATGGCATAATCAATCAATTTTGTCTAAATAAATTCATATTCAATAAATTCGTTACAAATTTATCTACATTTTTTTTTCTAGATTTCTATGTTTGTTGAATTATCGTATACGCTAAATGACGTTAGACCCTGTGAAATCCACCTAGTAATTTAAACTACAAATGTAACAGTCTGTATAGGTATATTCCTTGGACAAATTATTAACAACGTCCATTTACAATATTGATAAAGTTGTAGTTGTACTATATACAAGGAACGCAAGTTAATCAATGTTAAAAACAAAACAACAAAAAACAGAAACTGATACTTTTGTTTTTCTTCTTATATTGACTATTTCGATCAGGAAATTTTACTTTCATCAAAAATAAATTAATTTTTAAATTTGGCCAATAAATATCCATATTTAAAAAAAGTGTAATTTTATTTTTAACTTGGTCGATTAAAATAACGTCATTTTCTTTTAATTCAGACTAGTGCATTAAACAGTTGTTGTCAACTTTTCAGCAGCTGTTAACGTACGGTGTACCAAGTTTAATTATCAGTACAGAGATCGCAGGAACTATTAGAGATACTGAAAATCTTATATTGACAAAGTAGTGACGTAGTGAAAAGAATTTCATTTAGTTCGAATTTTGTTATAAAAAAGTCAAAATCGCTCTTTTTACAGTTCAGTGTGTTCTTTTTACTGGTGTAGTCTTTTTTTAATGAAGATTTCCCAGAAAATAATCTAATTTTTTTTATGGATGCTATATCGGATTTTATTAAGAAAAAAATAATTGCTATTATAATATTTTTAATATTACATAAATTACACGCTATTTAAAGAAAGGTTTTAAATTTTTTCTGAATAAGTGAAAGTCTGTTTATATTTGAACTACCCCATTATTTTATGTTATTTAGATAGATAACACTGTATATAGAATTTCAAGTATAGAACCTTATATTTAGTAATAAAAAAGCTATAATTTAATTTAAGTCTAAACATTTTTTCTTCTCTTATACACTGCATTTAATCTTAGGATCGGAGTTCCTACAAAAACTACCATAATAAATTGTTTGCTACGTCATTAATGACAATTCTTTTCCTTAGCCAACCTCTTAAGATAAAATTTGCAGATACTACCTTTAGGTGTATACTTAACAAAGGAATATAGCCGCCACCATAAATTGTAGCGGAAATCACTATTTGAATAACAAATGAAACGCAACAAGAAGTCATCTCTTTTGAGGATATTACGTAAATAATAAATGAAATGAGGATGAACTTCTTTATTCGTCAGTAATAGTTGATTTTTGACTACAAAAAATTGCAATAAATTAAAAGTAAACCTTGGTTAGTGAACAGTAATACGCTTATTAAAATATCTGACGAATAAAATCGATTTCTACGCCTATTATGTGAAACTAATCACAGCTGTAATTATTTTCTTTGAAAAAATTGTAAAAGTAAATTTAAGTGAGCAGACATTTTGAGATCTTTAATACTAAGCTTATTTCGTTGAAATAAAACAAGGAACATAATTCCAAGATTCACTTAAGGGGTTAAATAGTTTTAATTAGTGTGTTAATTCAACAAAATTAAAGAAAAGTATAAAATTACACACCAAAATTGATGTTTGTATGACTGACCAATCAAACTAATAACTAATTATGCACCTTTTACATAACTTTATGAAATATTCCTTTACGCAAAAAAATCATTCATTGAAATTCTTCATGTGCGATCTAAAAAAATTGTTGCAAAGGTCGCATGACCACAAATGTCTGCATATATTTGAGACACATGCCAGAACTACCCACCAAGGTATGTTTGTAGTTTCTGATGCATACAATTAACACATATTGAACCCACAATTAAGATAAAAATCGTATTTGTTATGTCAATGTTAATGCGATTATCAACAACAAATTGACTTCAACTAATCAGTAATGATTACTACATTCTAATGACTATTTGTATTGTGATTTCATTAATGCAATACACGAACATTTCACCCGTTTTTATTATCTTTCTAAAAATAGTTGAAAGCTGGTTTTCTGAGCTATTTGAATTTACGAAGATTTAATATAAACATATCCAGGATTTTTTTCAGCAATATAGGTTCGCTGAACATTTAAAATGTTTATTGACAATAAGCAAATAAATGCTACTATTTATTTTTCTTTTGTTACGAGGGAATGCCACACATATTTACTTATGTCCATACTCGTTGTTCAAACTGCCGCACACCTCGTATATAAACAAAACGCTTACGACAGGACTATTGAATACATACATACGTATATGCCCCTATTCAGTGCATTCACATTTACCAAGTCATTCCAGTTTAACGACTAGCCGAGAACTAACAATAACTGTAAATTAAATACAAGAAGTGGTGGTTTTCAATCAGACATTTTTAATGATTAGAACAATTTATGACGACAGGTGTTTTGGTATTTATTGTATTTGCCAGGTAACATTTTTTTAAGCACGTAGTAGTCAAATGGGTTTATCTGACACTTTAGTGCGACAATCTATTTTTCATATAAATGTGTGTAGATTTGCCGAAATACACATATTTATCAAACATAAACAATGGAAATACAAAGACACCCCGTTTTGGACTAATTCAATAAGCGAATGTTTTTTTCAATATGCGATGATCTGTTTGGGAATGGTAAATAACAACAAATGAAAGAAAACAATTAACATTCTTATTATTAAACAAGTTGTGTGTTACTCTAAATTCGTAAAAAAATGACAAGTGTACTACAACACAACAGGCTGATAAGCTGACAAGATATATAAGTATATATACCTACCCTTCGTATGTGGAACGTTAATTTTAAGGGAAGGAAGGGAAAATGAGTAGAATGTGATTAAAAAATTTTAAATGCATATTTACCCTGAAAAAAAAATTCCAAATCATTATGTAAACCCTTTTTCGGGCCATGCCTGACCGCTGATCTACAAACGTTTATCGAGAGTGAATCCTGACCTACCGTATTCGGTCACTAACCTAGTTTTTACTGCGTTTTGAATAGTGAACGACAAAGACAGACATTTTTACCTAAACACATGAATGAATAAGATACAAACACATGTATAAGGGTAATAATGTAATGTTAGGTTATTTAGTATTTTTAATATTGTTAACGTTTTCACAATGTTACAATTGCAAAATTCAAGACGACTGGGGAAATATTTCACCGTTCGAAAACTTTATAATCGAGTAAAATTTTGTTTTCGATTTTTTGTCTTTATTAGGCCTTCCGTATACGCGGCTGAAGTTAATGACATTATGACTGAACCAGTCTGTATATTTACTCTTTTAAATGAAACCATTTGCAAATTAGTACCCCTATTTATCTTTTAGACTAGCTCGGAACAACGAAAAAATGTAAACGGAGATTTGCCAGATTCAGTTTATCATGATATTAACTGCCTGAATCTCATTTGCCTGGCATAACAACATATTGTTGTGGGCCACAGCTTGAATATCTCTGCGAACCATCTAAATGGGCGCATAAAAACAAGTGGGTATGCCGTCTGGAGATATCTAGGTGCGGCTTTAGAATAGCTGGATTTCTCTCCATTTCCATAAAGGCAAGTCTGCATGATATTAATTTAACCCAATGAAACGAAACGGTAATAAATCCAAATAGTCAATGCAAGGGTACCGTTATGTGTTTGAAGCCTGCTAAGTATTTGTCCTATAAGGTTTCTTTTCGAATGTATGTTCTGATGCAGTATAGAAGAAATAACAAATTGGACAAATTTCTGTGAATTTTTACATTCTCAACGTTTCGGCAGAAGTCCTACCTTCCTCAAGGCAAAAATGTACTTGCATTTGAGTTTTCTGTAACTGTATTTTAGTTCTGAGCAATACGGGAATTCTGCCGAAATGTTAGCTAAGTGCTCGAATTCATAGAAACAAGTAGATGGTTCAATTTGCCTTGTTACTTATGCTACATAATCTTTTAAGTATTGTAGAAAATTTAAAATAAATCATATTATTATATTATTTTTGACAGTAATAGAAACTAAATTATGAAGAAATTCAAGCCTCTGTAAGTATACAGGGTGTTTGTTTTACTTAATGAAAGAATAAGTTTTTAGCCAAGATTTTTCTGCTAAAAATAATCTTTCATCCAACCCATCCGACCACTCTTAGCACATATTCATTTACTAGTTCTTGTAGCATGCTATACCACAATCGTAATTCTAAATTTCAAGTTCAACTTGTTTTGTAAACGTAACCGAAACTCACCTATAGTTCGACTGCTGGAAACCGGACTGAGCGGGTAGAAGTCCCCGTGCAAAGGACAATGGAACCCGATCGTCTGTTCCCTCCTGCGCGCTCGTCTTGTGAGAACACAGAGCACACAACCAGCGACTAGCATGAAGAAGCCGACGACGATACATGCTGGACCCAGAATTCTGGAATTTCCTGTGAAGGCTATCCTGTCCTCGTAGTGGTCTGGCTCTTCGTCTTCACCAGGACCTCTGTAGGATGCGGCTGAAACAACAGACAACTTTGAAATGCAATGTCGGTAAAAAAAGGTTTAGAAAAATTCGAAATAAGGCTGTAACCGCATATTTAGATGATGATCAGATTAATTTTAGTTTTAAAGATATTTAAACAGCAACTGATTTATTTTTTTAATTCGTATAAGGATAGAGGCTGATGCAAAATTCAGTACAAAGAATTTAGGGGCGTATATTTGAGGTCGAAATAAGACTTTTTTTCGTATAAACGTGGGTTCACAAATGCTTAGTTTTCGATATAAAGGGCGTTAAAGTTTTTTATTTTCGTAAATTTTTTAAGAATAATTTCCAAACAGATTTGAATGTTGGCATAAAATTTGGGGTACGGGGTTTTATGCTGAATTTAAATATGTCATTCCATTGCTTATGACGCTACTTGTAGAAGGCGATACCTATAAGGTACGCTTGTCCAGTGAAACAGAATTTTTAGAAATTTATGAAGTTACAGCAATTATATTCCCTACAATTTTCAATTCCGTTTCCTATTTTTTCCCAAGCATCGTGCCGCACATTGTGATCTTTGTATTGTTCTAAGTGTGCATTATAATTCTTTATTCTCTATACAGGGTTTTAGAAAGTTTGACTGCTTTAATTATAAGAGACGATAGAATACAATAAAATAAACAAAAAATCCTTATATGACATAGGTCCTAAACTCAACCATTTCCGAGAAAAAAATTATCAACATTGAACATCTTTATGCTTAATTCTAAAAAATAGTTAGCGTTGTAATAAATTTAAAATTCGATAAAATTAATATCGAGCGATGTGACAACGGTGTGGCGGATAACATGAGGCTCTAAGCTGTCCAGCAATACGCAATTCAGTTGGTGTTGGTATCTGGAATTGGACCGAGTCTGAGTGTTTTTTGCGTACCACTATTTCCTTTTCTTGAGGTGCTTTCCGGCGAGTGCGCGAAAATTGAATTCGAAGGTGTCGTGCGTGCATCGAAAATGGTGGTGGACATTTTGAGCATATGTTGTAGNTAATAGTTGTTTACATTTTTTTCGTAGAACAAGTCTGCCGCATGCACAGCCGTGTGCATCAGCGATGTAGCGCTGTTGTCAGTCACGTTGTGAAACTTCCTAAGATTAATATTCGCTGTATTTTGAACACTGTTACTCTTACACCCTTATAATATAGACTTTTGTTCATTTATGATTACTCTATCTCGTGCTGAAGTTATGGCAGTCAGTCATACTTCTTACACCCTACATATAACTCATGTTGTTGTACCTTTTCAATTATAACCTCTTGCACTTTTCTTCTTGTCTACACTCGTATAAGTATACAAAAACAGACTGTTGTAGGAGGTAAGAAAAAGATTTATCACGAAGTAACATGTCGGATACATCCATATGAGTAAATATTTAGTTACACATGTGGATACATCGCTGTGATCCATATTTTAGAAAATTTACAAGATCAACTCAGATTTGGTACGAGTTCTGGTGTACCACAGCCTTGTTTCAGATTATTAATTCCGTAATGACACTTGTACACATGTATTAATGTGGTTTACTTAAACATATACAAGCAAATAAAAAATTTATTATTGTAGGTATAGACAACAACTAAACTGAAAACATGATGATACTTTATTAATTATTATTATTGTAGCGATATTATACATATGTACATTTGATAAATTGTATATCCTGTGTAATAAGCTAAGAGTATTTATGGATATTTCAATTACGGTAATAGTAACGTCGTTAGGTTAATGGATTTTTTTTACTATTCTCATTATGGCAAAGAAAGTTGCAATCGTGTTTTTAAGTGACAAGTGATAAATTCATATGCTTAATATTTTTTATTTAGTAATATTCGTAGTACTTACTTGTATTAATTTTTTATTAATTGTTAGTGGACGATTAAAAAAAATGTCGCTTTTAAGCGGGTATAGATTTGTGATAACTATTAAAACTAAAAGAAAAAGCGAATATTTCAAAATATTGGAAACGGGAAAACAGAATTTTTGTTACAATCCAAGATATAAGGGTTATTATTGCAGCCATTATGTTTAGCAACAAAGGTAATATTATATTTAAATAAAATAAAATAAATCTCTAGAAATTATTTTGACAATAACATAATCGGACTATTTTCGCTTAGAGAAGAAGCTGATAAAAATTTTGAATATGTTCAAGAATAAACATGTGCTTTATAAAAATAACATTCAGACTGTTTTCTTTGTTATATCAATTTTTTTGTTTGCTATTTATCGATATTTTGTTTCTTGTCATTGTTTACTCATGAACAATTAAGATTTCGTTTTTTTGTTGTTTTAAATATTTATATTTACCATTTAGTAATTTGTCCATAAGCCCGACTAATTTGATATTTGAAGGCATCTCAAAATATGTTGCTCATATTTTTGAGGTTTATTCTAGCAAAATATATCAAGAAATATATTTAAATAAGTAGTGCGACAAAATATCTTTTGTTATACGATTGCAAGAACTAATATATGCAAAAGGTTATAAATCAAAAATCCAATTTAGGTTAAATTGACAATGGTTATGATTATTACCAACAAATTGTGTAAAAATTTAGTAGCGATATTTCAATATTTATACCTTTCATGGAATCATAGAAATACATTAAATTATTAACATCTTAAAATAACAATAGTTTCAAGACAGTGTTCACTCTTGCTGAAGATATTCAACAAGTCTTCAAGTTGCCAATTATTGATCCGTAACAAAGCGATGTTGCTAGAGCTTTATGTACCTTTCTCTCCATAAAAACACCAAGCTTTTAAATACAATTTCTTATAATCCTTCTAAATTTAACTAGTTTCAGTTTTATGACTTTTATGATATAGCTTTTGTAGGTATTTACAAACGTTTCTCTAAAATTGCTGAAGTTTTTACGAGAATAACTAAAGTAAAAGACACAAATATACCTTTGTTGACATTAAAAAATGCTTTGCAATGTTGCGTACCTACGTCAAGATAAGACAAATATTTAGACATTTTAATGCTTGTACTTCAAAACACTTAGTAGGTAGTACAAAGTAACGACGTCTTTCTTTCATAGAGTTATTTATTAGTATTTTTTTGGTAATTTTTGAATATACAGGTCTATCAGTTTTATAAATAATAAAAACAATTATAAGCAACAAATGAAGTAAATTTTTGTAACAGAAAATACGAGGTCTGTTCAGAAAATAACCGAAATTTATTCTTTTAAACTATGCATATTATTAATTTTATACATTATTGTCGTTGTCTTCTTCAAAGTACTCCCTTTACCTATTCACACACTTTTCCCAGCGGTGTTTTTATTTCAAGAAGCAGTCCTGGATAGCTTCATTTGAAATGGTCTTTAAAGTCTGTGACGAATTTGCTTTAATGTCATCAATAGTCTGAAAACGACGCATTGTCATGGTGCAAAAACCATGAGTTATATCGCCACAACTCTGGTTGTTTCAATGTCGTAGCCGTAAACCCGGTATAATCCTTTAAATGAATATTTCATCGTCATTGGATTGTTCAAAGAGTTGCCGACAAACGTTCTTCTGTTGTTCGGTCATCAAACGAACAAATTTTGCTGCAACTCGATGCATGTTCAGTTTTTTAATCAAAATTTTTGTGACAGTCAATCGGCGATTTGGACGCACCAAATCATTGATTTTCTGAACGTAGGAGTCATCAATTGAAGTCGGAGGCCTTCTTGGTCGAGGATCATTTTCAATTGACTGACCATCACTTTTAAATTGTGAAAGACATTCGTAACATTGTGTACGACCCAGAGTATCATCACCGTAAGTTTGTTTCAAAAGTTGAAACGTTTCAGTGAAAGTTTTCTCCAATTTCACGCAAAATTTTACGTTGTTTCGTTGTTCCAGAAAATCGCACATTTCAAATATCGACACTTAACACTTATTGTTAAACACGTTGTACTTAAATAACAATATCACGAAAACTAAATAAGATATCAACAATCCAAGAACATGTGGTTACACAGGAGGTTATGCGCAACGCAGTGCTGCCAACGGCATATCACTAAATATCTCCATTAGCGCGCAATTCAAAAAGTTCAGTTATTTTCTGAACAGACCTTGTATATGTATATTGCTTTATCTGTGATATCTATGTATTATCAAATTTGTTTCATTAAACTAGTCACGAGTGTTCTAAATATGGTTCAGAGATCTTGAGGCCACAGGCCTTTTCATACAAGGCCATGGACTTGTCCAGTTATATTTACATAAATTGTTGTTTCGTCATTATTTTCTAACTGAAATTTCTGATTTGCAGAATAAACTTTACTTGTTTAGTCAAGCACAGTTGATCGTCGAATTAAAAAATCAGTGACCAAACTAACCGCATGAACATCAAAATTAAAAAGTGAAATTGAAGCATTGTTCTTCCGTGCTTCAAACCGACAATTAAAACTATCGATGCTATGTTCCATTATGATTTCACATTTTAAATTGGAGACCTTGTTTATAAGATGTCATCTATCATAATGTTCTGTAAAGATAGACGATACTTTCACGCTAATCACAGCTTTCTATAATTACAGCGAAGCCAGAGAAAGTTAGTATACAATTTATTAATTGCGTCATTTAAATTATTTCTGTTGCGCTGCTAAAAAAATACAACAGTTGTCGAAAGGTGAGAATTACTAATTACAAACTGTTTGAGGTGGTGAAAATGCAAACAAATTATACTTGTATCTAGTAGCTAGTATTTCCGGAATTTTAATAGTATGCAAGTATATTTATTTTCTCTTTATAACACGTATATTGTAGGCTGAAGTAATAGCATGTTTACAAACACGGAACGGTATATTTAGAAAAAAGATGGAGCCAACAAGACATCGCAGTTGACATAGTTCTATGTAAAGAGTACTAGACATTTTCTCATTCACTCGCCCATTAAAATACATACAAAAAACACACAAGTGTTGGCATTTCCATAAGCAATTTTTAGAAATGTGTACAAGGAAGTATATGTTAAA